GGCGCTTCCAGGGTTTCCATGGCTGCTGCATAGGCGACAGAGTTTCCGCTTCGTTCTCTGGTCGTATTGCCGCTTTATAGCTGAGGCTTTAGGGCAGACGTTACACGGAAGCCCTGACTGGGTTGACAACTCCAAGAAAGCGGTCCAGGTGGTTGCGGCACACGGGCTAGTGGCCCCGAGGAAGGTTCTACTGGACGGGGGCAGCTTCTACTCCATGGCGGGAGCCAAGCTCAAGGCACAGCTGGGGCTCACTGCCGCGGACATGGACGCCGGGGGCCACCGGGTTCACACCGCCACCGGGAAGATAGAGGCGCTGCAGGGGGGGCTGACCAGGAACCCGGTCCCCATAATCCTAAATGCGGGGACCCCAGAGAAGCTCACACTCTACGAGCGGTTGGCCTTGACCGATTCCACCGGCTACGACCTCCTTGTTGGGACGCGGGCGGCGTACCCCGCTGGTCTGTCGGTAGATCGGTGGACCGAGGAAGCAACCTATCGTGCGGACTGGAGGGGCGAGGGGAGAGTGGTGGGCAGGCTGCCTATGCGCCTGCACCAAGAGCGGGAGGAGAAGACTCGGGTGGGAAGGAAGGGCGTGGCGGGGGCGGCGCTGGCTTGCTGCCTCACCGAATGAAGAGAAGCGGGGGACGAGGGGGCAGGCGAAGGCGGGAGTCAGGAGCAGGGGAGCAGCGCTGGCCCCGGTGTCCCCCACGATGATGCTGCGCGGAGGCGGGCAAAGGTTGACAGGGTGGACAAGTGGCGCGCGAGGCGGTGGCCGCGAGGCCCACCACTGGATGTGACGCGGGAGGCGGAGGCCGCGGTTAAGAGAGCGATAGGGGAGAAGCGGAGAAAGGTGGCGGTGCCGCAGAGGATAGAAATAGAACAGCTGCGCGGGTGTCAGCCCCTGGACTGGCGCGTGATTCAGCCCCTGCCGCGGGACAGGCCCCTGCGTGTGTTGGAGTTGTTTGCGGGGGTGGGGGCGGCCACGCAGGCGCTGGCGCGGGTGGGATACCAGGTCGGGGAGGTGGTGGCGTGTGAGCTGCGTAGCGTGGCGCGGCAGGTTCACGCGCACTCCCTGACGCAGCTGGCGCACTGAGGAGTTCCCAGGGCAGGTGGCTTGCCGCGCGGCGGCGCAGCTTCATCACCGCCTGCCCCAGGACATCAGGCTAGTCACGCGCGAGCAGCTGAGCGAACTGGGGCCGGTGGACCTAGTCGTCGCGGGGTGGCCTTGCCAGGGCAGCAGTGCGGCCGGAACGGGGCAGGGGTTGGACGACGGACGGTCAGGCCTGGTGGTGGAGCTTCTGCGCGTTATGCGCAACCTGCAGGCGCTGCACCAAGGCTGGGGACGGCAGCTCGGATACCTGATAGAGCACGTGGCCGCAGGGTTCGATAAGCGGCCCAAGGTCAGGGAGCACTACGAGGCTGTACGCGGGCTGTTAGGGCCAGAGGTGGTGGTAGACGCGGCGCAGCTGGGGTCCCGGGCGCACAGGCTGCGGGCCTGGTGGACGAACTTAGAAGGGATGGCGCTCCTTCGTGAGGCCTTAAGCCAACAGAAGCGTCCGGAGGGGCTATTTGTGGGCCAGGTGCTGGGGGCAGGGCGCAGGGCGAAGCAGCCGCGGAGCGAGGGAGTAGCCCCGTGGGCGAAGGTGGAACGGCCAGGGGAGGCGCGGAGGGCGCTCAACACTTTTGTCAGCTACAGTGGCTCATACGCCTTCTCGCGTGCGGGCGGGGGGGTGCTGCGCTGTGAGCGCCCAGGCGGCCAAGTGACGTTTGAAGAACCCACCGCTGAAGAGCGAGAGCTGGCGATGGGCTTCCCGCGTGGGTTCACTGCCGCCCCGGGCGTCTCTGAGAATCTGAGGCGCGAGCTGCTTGGCCAAACGATGGACCTCAACACCGTGATGTGGCTGCTGGCGGCGTGCAGGGCAGGAGGGGAGGCCCGGGCCAGGGCGGCAGCAAGCGGCGCACGGTTGAGGGAAGCTGAGGGGGTGGCAGGCAGCGCCAGGCATGGGCGCAATGAGGCAGAGCTGGCAGCAGGAGCGGTGGGGTACGAGCAGCTGGCAGGGCGGAGCGTAGAAGCTTTGTTGGAGGCCGCGTCGGCGCAGGCCAGGGGAGAAGCCAGTGCGGTGTCCAAGCCGGGGGAGCAGGAGCAGTCAAGGCAGGGGCCAGGAGCTGGCGCTGGTGGTGGGGCGCAGCTGGAGGGGCCGGGGCCGCCAAGGGGAACGGTGGCAGGGAAGGGCTGGACGGTGGGGGCCCAGCTTAACGAAGAAAAGCGGGAGTACGCGGCGGCGGTGGCGGAAAAGAACAGGGATGTGTTCGCGTTTAGCTTGGAAGAGATAGGGGAGTTCAAGCTATTCGAGGTCGAGCTGGACCTGAAAACGGAGCAGCCAATCTTTGAGCGAAGGAGGAAGCACATCGCGCGGGAGTGGGAACTTGTCGATGAGCGGTGCCAGGAGCTGGAGAAGGCAGGGATAATCGAGGAGTGCGAGTCAGACTTCGCGGCCAACTCGGTGATGGCCGCCAAGAAAGACCCAGAGGGGAATTGGAAGTTGGCTCGGTTCTACACCGATCTAAGGCGGGTCAACGAGCAGACCGCGCAGGACCGCTACCCCATGCCGCTGCCGGAGGACGTGCTTGAGGGGCTGGGGCACGCACGGTTCTACTCGACGATCGACGTGAGGGGGGCGTTCCACCAGCTGGTGGTGAGGAAGCAGGACAGGAGGAAGCTGGCCTTTTGGAGCAGCAACAAGCTCTACTGCTGGAAGCGCTGCCCTTTTGGGGCAAGGAACGCCAGCGCCTGGTTCCAGCGGGCGATAGATCGGACGCTGCGGGGGCTGGAGGGGTTTGCACGCAGTTTCGTAGATGACTTGCTGGTGGCAGGCGGGGAGACCCTCGAGGAGCACATGGAGCTAGTGCAGAGGGTACTGGACAGGCTGCGGGAGGTGGGCCTGAAGTGCCACCCGGAGAAATGTTGTTTCGGCGCGGATTTGGTGGAGTACCTCGGGATGTGGCTGCGGCCAGGGGTCGTGTCCCCGCAGGTGGCGAAGGTGGCTGCGATAGCCGCACTCCCAAGGCCCACCGATGTCACGTCAGTGCGTGCCTTCTCCGGGGTGGTAAACTACTAGTACCGCCAGTTTATCCCGGAGTGCAGCCGGGTGCAGGCCCCGCTAAACGAGCTGACGAAGAAGGGGGTGTCGTGGCGCTGGGGAGAGGAGCAAGAGAGCGCCTTCCAGGCCCTCAAGCAGGCCCTGCAGGGGAGCCCTGTACTAGCGCTCCCCAGGCGGGGGCGGCCGTTTCGCGTCCGCTGTGACTGGAGTAAGCGCGGCGTGGGTGGGGTCCTGCTACAGGAGGACGAGCAGGGACTGGAGCGGGTGGTGGCCTACGGGAGTCGCAGCTGCAACCAGGCGGAGTCCCGGTACAGCAGCTTTGAGGGCGAGCTCCTGGCCGCGGTCTACTTCGTGCGGTTCTGGCGCCAGTACTTGTACGGGGAACGGTTCGTACTGGAGAGCGACCACCAACCGCTGAAGTGGATCCTCACCAACTCGAAGCTCACAGGCAAGTTGGCGCGGTGGGCACTACTGCTGAGTGAGTTTGACTTCGAGGTGAAGCACAAGCCCGGGGTGGACAACGAGATGGATTGCCTCAGCCGGTACCCCAGGGAGAGCCAAGAGGATAGCACGGGGGTGCGGCAGAAAGGGGAGCTGGAGAGCGAGAGCGCGCCGGTCTGGTCGGCGGCGGCCTGCCTGTCTTGGCAGCCCAGCGCAGCCGTGGTGAGCGGGGCAGACGGCCTGGTGGGCGCTTTGGCCCCCGTGGACGTGTGGGCCGATGAGGCCCTGCTGGGAGTGCTCAAGGGGGACGGGTACCCCCTTCGCTGCGCGCCAAGGGAGAGAGATCGGCTGCAGCACCGCGCGCGGGGCTACGAGTGGAGGGGGGACCACCTTGTACGCAGCCTGGTATCGGGTGGCCAGGTGCGGGTGGTCCCACGACCGGAGGTCAGGGTGCGACTGGTTAAGGACGTGCACGAGCGAGCAGGGCACATGGGAGCACGCAAGACGCTGTCGTTGCTGAGGCCGCACTATTGGTGGGTGGGCCTGGCGGCGGACGTGGGGAAGGCGCTGAGGGGGTGTGAGGCGTGCGACCGGGTGAGGGCCGCGTTCAACGCGAAGCACCCCACGCTCCAACCCCTGCCCATCAAAGGGCTGTTCTACCGGTGGGGTCTTGACTTCGCGGGGCCGCTGCCGCGCTCCCGGCGGGGGAACCACTACGTGCTGGTGCTGGTGGAGCACTTCAGCAAGACCGTGTCCCTGGTTCCCACGCAAGATAAGGAGCCCTCCACGGTGGCAGAGGCGTTCACGCGGGAGGTGCTGACGCGGTTTGGAGCGCCCGCAGAGGTGGTGACGGACAGGGGCGGGGAGTTCGCTGCAGAGTTCCAGGCGTGCCTGGACGCGGCGTTGGTGGACCACAGGGCCACGTCCGCCCACCACCCGCAGGCGAACGGGCTGAGTGAACGCGTAGTCCAGGTGGTCAAGCGGGCGCTGCGCAAGTGGTGCCTGGGGCACGCAGCGGAGGACTGGGACCTTTACCTCCCCTGGGTGGCCATGGGGTACAACTTCAGCACGCAGGCGTCACTGGCATCGTTCTCCTCGTACCAGCTCGTGCACGGACGGTCTCCCGTGGTCCCAGGGGCCATCAAGGTGGAGATCGCTGAGCCCCTGGACCTGGACAACGAGGAGCGGCTGGTAGCGCTGGTGGCGGAGCGCGCGAAGCTGTTCGAACGGTGGATGCCCATGGCGATGGGCAACCTGGAGATCGCCCAGCACCGCGACACCCTCCGGTATGCCAAGACGCGGAGCGGTGCCTGGAAGCCGCAGGCAGTCAGGTACGAGCCGGGGGACTACGTGTACCTGCAGCGAGAGATGCTGGATACGCTGGACACGCGGGCGGGGCCGCACATCCTCAGGGTGCGCGAGGTGGCGGCCAACGGACGGTGTCCTGGAGCTGGAGGGGGCTGACGCGCGGACAGTCAGGGTGCACATGGAGAGGTGCGCCCCGTGCCACAGAGCTGACATTGACGGACGGCTGGACGGGCCCACGGGTGGCGGTGCCCTCAGCTGATTTTGCGTGCACTAGGTGCCGCAAGTCAAGTGGAGCGGCGCGCATGCTCCTGTGCGATGGGTGCGGGGCGGGGTGGCACCTGGAGTGCCTGCCACAGCCGTTGGGGGCAGTCCCCGATGGGGATTGGTACTGTGGTCAGTCACTGCCAGGTGGCGCAGATTGACCCGCGGGGCGAGTCCGGCCCATAGGTGTGCCCGCGGGCGTGCACAGGAGGGGATGGGGCGGTGCGGCCGGCACGCCCGTTGACATAGAGTAGCCGAGATGGATAGGCTAGATGAGGTTTAGCGCGACATTGGCACCAATGATTAGTGTCATGCGAATACGTTATAGTGCGGGCCATATATATTACAGCGCATTATATAGTACACTATATAGTCGGACGTGATATATGGTATATTCATTTTGGTCACCGGCACTATAGCTTAGCAATAGTAGACCGTACACCACCGGCCGTCGTCGACTTAGCCGACCACGGCTCCGAACCGACGTTAAATCATCTAAATCTAACTTCTCTAGCTACTAGTATTAGTACACCTCCGAAAAATTCTTATAGCTAGATTCAACGTCGGATATACCGCAGGCTAGAGCTCGCGATCGGCCATTATTCCGACAATGTGGCTATATCGCGACCGTACTCGATCAATATTTAACCATGTGTGTCAGACGCAAGCACGAATCATGATTATCATTGATCAAATGATCGATTGATCTTGGATATTAATCAAATGCATGGCGCGCGGCCGGGCCGCGGCCGACGGTGGTGTTGGAGCGATTGTGCGGCAGCCATGCTGCGCGAGGATCTGGCCATGCTGATCGACTCATCCAATTGCAAGCTGAGCAACTTAACATGCATGGGCTCAGTTCCGTGCTGCAGCGGCCGCCGCTGCCATACTGCCCCGCGATTACATTTATCCAAGTGACTCACATGCATGTATATGCAACTGATTCAACGGACTAGTCTTATAGTAGTAGCATGCCCACAGATTCGCCGCCGGACTTGACTCGGCAGCCATGTCCAGCGTGGCACCGGTACTAGATGCATCATATGATCGCGAACATGTGCAATATACATACCGTCGCCGCAATTTAACTTCGGAACTCAAGCAGATGTGACTGCAGTCGCCGTGCAGCTTGATGACCGTCCTGCTTGGGCCGAATTTACATGCCGATGCGCGAAATCAGGACGACAACATTGTGCGAACGTTCATTTCAGTATTGATGCTGACAGGATCGATTGCATGCGCGAAACAAACCGTGGGTTGAGCTATGTAGAATTGCACCAAGTGCAGTGACCGATCGCTTAAACAAATAGGTGCGGCAAGACACTGCAAGTGCAGTCCGATGCACTCGCAACCCTTTCCGACTTTGTGCACAGATAGGACCAAGCACATTGATATTTTACTAACGTAAAACCCCTGGATGTGAGTAGCCTATTAGCCGCTACTTGACATCAAGCAAAGACGGTTCAGGATTACTGAAGCAGGGCGGGAACCTTAGCCTTCAACGTTACCTTCTGCGGTAGTCAGGAGATCGGCTCCTGCCTCGTCCATAGGGGCGGTAATCCGGCGACCTGCTCCTATACCGCCGGGGTGGAGAGCGGCTGCAAACAGAATGATAAAACAATCTTTCTACGATCCCAACTAAAATGACGACAAAAGGGCATCAGAAAAAGGTCAAGCGACACCACTCTATGACAAAGACTGAGCCACTGCAGAAGGAAATCGCGACCCATCGACTTGGCAAAGCAGCTTCGCCTTGGAGTCAGGACGGAATGTACAAGGAAATTCGGCAGATTGTGAGACGACGTACATGAACACATATGCTGGAGGTTTTAGCCAATTTGGCCACAAATGATGGTGGATGGTCGCTTAGGCAAGCTCCGGCTCGCTCAGACACCTGCGCCCATGGCGCAAGGACAAGCCAACAGAGGGGAAATGCTGATAGTACCCCAGATGAGACGATATCCTGGCGCGACTCAGTCATTCGCACTATCCTGACCTGCGATGGCGGGGGGGCGACCTGCGCCTCTCGTACGAGTCTCCCCCGTGGCCCCCGCCGCCAGAGCCACCTCCGCCTCCGCCTCCATAGCGGTCCTCTCCGCTACTGTACTGAACGGTCAGGATTCTGCCCATCAGCTCTCTGCAGAGAACGGAAAGAACAGTTTAGTTACTCTTGGGTTTTACGGGCATCATCTGAGATGAGATCTTAAGAAAATGGCAGAAGACGAGGAGCATAATCAAAAAGAAGGGGGCCCTTTGATCGTAGCGCATGGCAAAAGGACGATTGACTCTGCATAGAGCCCAAATGAAAGGGCGACAAACTCAAAAAGCTCAGAAAAAAATTGGGTCTCGAACCATCTCATCCAGCTTTCCTCTGGCAATCTGCCTCTATCAAGCACCGGTCAGCATCATACCCATTGAGCGTTCCACACTTCGTGTCTGGTTAGGTGCCCTCGTTGCAATCTCCTCTTGCTCGTACATTATTGCAAACCTTTGCTGACGAATTCCTGCTCAAGAGTGAATGGCCCGTTTCCCTGGTTGAAAGGAGCCGTTCAACTTACCAACAAGGCTGAGAAAGCGCTCAGGCTTCCCCGAAGTGCCTCAAGAGACCTTCTAGATCCCTCACCGGCTCGTTGCCGGCAAATGCCTCATTCCACCTCCTTGCTGATCGATGAGATGGCCTTAACCAAGTATGATAAAAAGGAAGAGGGTGGGTCAGCACTCACCTGCCATTGAGCCCCGGCGTTGCATCCTCCACCATCTTGTATCAAACAAAAGGAACATTCTGATTTGAATCGTCTTCTAAACGAGGGCCTGAACCAAGCACGGTCAGGGCAAAAAATGTCACTCAGCACTCACCTGCCATCGAGCGCCTCGAGCGCCCGCGTCGCATCCTCCACCGTCTCGTAGCAGACAAACGCAAAGTTCTTGCGGATCTGGCACCGCGTCAGGCGCCCGAACTCCTCGAAGTGCTTCTCGATGTCGCGCGTCGTCGTCTCGATCGGGTCGAAGTTGACCACAAAGAGCGTCTTGGACGGCCGGGTCTTGACAACGTCGCGGCGCGCGTCCTCGCGCGCCTTCACACTGCCATCACCCTGTGACGAAGTTGCCATTTCTTTAGTAAGAGGTTGCTTTTTCTTGCAGGGAAAAGGCAATTGCGTACATGAACGTGCCGTTGCACTGCAGGGAGGGCACGCTCCAATAAAGATTGAACTCCCACGTCTCAGTTGGGTTGCATGTGTAGAGCGCTTCCACAGCTGCTCATTGTCAGCTCACTCCAAAAAACAAAATGCGTTGTGCAGATCCACTGATAATGTGACATCTTCCAATGGTCAGAGAACTTGCAAAGATTCTTCCAAAGCAAGGCGGAGAATGCTCGGCACCCACCTTCGACCATTCGACCGACAGGCGCCGCCTCTTGTAGCCAAACTCGGTGCCGTCCAACTTGTGAATCGCGTCCTCTGCATCCCGCTCGCTCTCCATGTAGACAAAAGCAAACCCTGTGCGAAACAGCAAAGCATCACCAATTAGTTTACTAGACCCGCTGTCCATCCAGATTTTCGGTTCGTCTATCTTGAGATTGCGCCAAAGAAAGAGGGTAGGTGTGAACTGTGCCGTTGCTGGTTGGAGATACTTGAAACAAACGTTTCACACGTGCTTATCTTTTGCTCCTTCAAGTATCAATGCTTTGATTTGTCTGCCCTGGGCCTGCACATACAGTGACTCTGCAGCAATGGTAAAAATGGTAGTTGATGATATAAGAAACTCAGAAGAAGCTTGCTTTTGGATGCAGACCTGCGGGGAACAACCAGGACCGTGGACAATTTTGCAGAACCCCTGCAAACAATCACCGTCAGCAGATTGCACATCCGGAGGGAAATTCAAAGATGGAATCCCGGAAATGTGTTCCAACTTGCTTACCATCTTGAAGTGATGGTATGCTGCCCCTGTTGCTCTGCTAGTTAGAAGGAGGCCAAGGTAGCAAGTCGCATGGCTTTCAAAGGGGATGGACTTGTAGACTGATGCCAGTAGCCACACGAGTGATGTCAGGACTGATGTCAGGAGGCAGGAAGGATGGCGCTCGTCTTTGAAAGGGCGTCTCTTAGTAGTCAAAAGGCTTCTTCGAAAGGGCGTCTTTGTCTTTGGGTAGTCGTGAAGCTTCTTTGAGTGACTTGGTTGGTAGAATGTTGAGGTAGCCGGTCAGACTGGACAAGCTGGCCTTGAATGCAGTAGTACGGAGGAGCAAGGTGGCGCATTGGTTGGCCCCAAGCGAGGCTAGTCCTCGAGCTGTTGCCAAAAGGAGCAGGTCTCTCAAGTGATCTTAGTTTCAGACAAACAACTGGGAGATTGAGTGTGTTATTGAAGATAGTTCAAACTTTACAATTGCAGGCCTTCATCTGGTGTGCTTTGATGAAAGCACACAGTCAATGCTCAATGTACAAAACCGGGACCAATCCTTTGACATGATGTGAACTACACCAATCTCAAACATTGCAGAATGGGAGTGACTTTGAACCACAAACTTGGAAGCCTCACGTGCAGGTAAGAGGAAGCAACTGAGGCTGATCATGGAGAAGGAACTTACCCATCTTCATGTCCACGCGCTCCACCCTGCCAAATTCTGAGAACAGTTTCTCAATCTCACTTGGGCGCGCATCGTACTCAAAATTACCTGCACGATGAAGAGAAGATTTTGATAAGAAACCATCATATTTGAAGTGAAGATGAGGTGAAGGTGGGGCCAAGGAAAGTAGCTCTGACCTCTGAAAATGCAACCAGAAACCTGTCCAATTGCAGCCAGCAGCTGTAATCTGCAAGTTTACTTAGATTCAGCCGCAAAAGCAGAGAACACGAGTTCTTACCACAATATATCGGCCGTGCCATCCCGCAGATTTGGTGGCTGCCGCAGATCCAATTGTTGACCACAATGTTGTGCACCAGCCTCGTCTAGAAGCGTGATATTTTCGAAAGACGCCGCCAATCTTCCAATCCCCTGTCGTAGACTGCGCCTGCCTGCGCTTACGAGGTGGACGTGAGAGAACCTTCCAGTTCAAGACTTCCGAGTCAGGAGCTGGACAGACTCCGACACAGACATCCCATGCTGGGAAGTGCACCTTCGCTCCCGAAAGGTACGTACCGCAAAGATTCATGAACGATATAAGCTGTAAACAATGATATATGCAGCATAACCTTATGTATGCGTACAAGCACCAGGTTCAAGCTTTAATTCTCATTCAAACCTATTCGTTCGTACCGTACGGCGTACGCGTACCCAATCTTCTAAAACTTAGGTATAAGCACGTGTAGGATCCGAGTTCCAACCGGCCTATAACAGGCTATAAGAGCCAAGTTAATCGTATTGGCCCATGGCTATCGCTTCCCAGTATGCACCGGATTCACAACAGATCGAACCTTTTCCCCTTCGAAAAGTTTCCTTGCTGAACAAGTCCAAGCACGAGCGACAAGCATCTCCTTGGGCGCCTTCTGCATCATAACAGTCGCTCTTCAACGTTGCCTTGCTTCTTGGAGCTACGGGCAGCCGCAAAGGTCCTCCTCTCTGCTGCAGCCAGTCGTCCTTCGCACTGCAACGCCTGAAAACCCTTGGCCTTGGCCAGACTGCCTCCATCGGTATTGTATGTTTGATTCGGCCGAGCCCTGTACATGCATCTCTTCAGTGCACACTCTTGGCAGCGTGCGACTGCCGCTCAGAGACCGAGACGGAGGGGGAGCTGAGGTCAGACGCGCTGGCTGCTCACAGATTCTGGTGCAGAGCGGATTTCTGAAGGGGAGGCGAAGGCAGTTGCACTTGATTTGCAATCATGGCGGGAGGTAAGTATCAGAAAGCACATTAAACTGAGTGTCATTCTATACATGGAAAAAGCGTATCAGGCTCCTCGGGATCATGGGGAATTTGTAAGAATATTGAGTGTAAATTTCTGTAGGTCTGGTTCCGAGGTTTATATGCCAAGTGTCAGCTTCACCCTGTCAATCTTGTGGTGGCATCTATCCCAGTTTTGTTCGAGTACCTGTTTCTACTTGGCGGTGTCGTACACAGCAGGTCATGTAGTTGGACTCTTTGAAAAGTTTCACAAAGAAACATGATTTCACACTGGCCGCATTGTTTGTCAGATCATGATGCCTGGAGTTCCATGGTATGCTATGTGCAGTGTGTAAAATCTCGAGTTTGTGCCTTGCTGCTTGTTAAGGTTGTTTGCTGATATCCCGCATTTTTGTGCAGTCGTCAACATCGGTGTCGGCAACCAGGACGATGCTTTTTATCGGTACAAGATGCCAAAGCTGATCACCAAGGTGGAAGGACGAGGCAATGGGATTCGAACAAATCTGGTCAACATGACAGACGTGGCAAAGGCACTAGCACGGCCTGCATCATGTGAGTAGGCCGAGGGACCTCCTTCTGTGCATCTGAAGTTCTTGCAGGCTGCAGATTATGTGGAGATTGTCTGCCTCTATGAAAGAGGGTTTTCAGCCAGACGTTTTGAAAGTTTCATTGATCATTGACCTCGATTTCCAAGCATCTTCTTGCTTGGTTTGGTGCTTTTCTTAGATGAGAGCATTTATCAGTAACAGATCTTGCTAAGGTTACTTAGCTAGACCTAGGGTTCCGTTCGGAAGCTCCAGAAACCCTGCAGGACACTGTTTAAGAAGATGACCATTACCGTTTAGCAATCTGCAGGATGCAACGGTTGCTTTTGTTGGACTGAAGCAACTCTTCTCACCTGATCGAGCTTTTTGTACTTGTTTGCCTTTGACTTCAGAATTGTCATGACAAGAGTACGTTCAGAGAATTTGTTGAGAAGGTACCACTTGCAGATACCACTTGCAGACGAAAAATTTCAAAATGGTTTCCAGGTTTTGTGAATCTATCATAGATTGCTGATCTGTTGCTTGCTTTGATGGGAGATTTTTTGACCATGGCCAGGTCTGAGTTTTTCCCCAAGTAGCTTTTGCTTTGCTTGATCAGAACAACTAATTTCTGTTTGAAGCACAAGCTTTTGCGATTGCTGCCATCTAGTTTCTGAGTATCTGAGATCGTTGGATACCCTGGATTGTTCCCTTAGTAAGTTAGGTTTGGTACACGAATTACGTTGCTTGCAAGTTTGCTGAGATTCCTTTTGTAACTTCCTGCAGACACCACCAAGTTCTTCGGCTGCGAGCTCGGCGCGCAGTCCAAGCACGACGAGAAGACTGGCGTCTCCATAGTCAACGGCGCGCACGAGACTGCCAAGCTGACTAACCTGCTCGAGGGGTTTATCAAGCGCTTTGTTCAGTGCTACGCGTGCGGCAACCCCGAAACTGTCGTGAACATCGACAAGGCGCAGAACATTCAGCTCCTCTGCAAGGCCTGCGGAGCCGTCTCGCCGGTGGACATGCGCCATAAGCTGACGACGTACATCCTGAAGAATCCCCCCGAAAGCAAGGGCGGGAAGGACAAGGCCAGCAAGCAGTAAGTGAATTTCTCGAGATCCGCGCTTCTGTAACTTTTCAGGTTGTTCAACCTCTCACTTTCCCCTTTCCGTTTTCTAGGCCTGATCGTTTCTAAGGTGTATGACAGCGGTGCTTCATGTTCACTTGATTTCCAGTCTAACCTCTCCCACTCTTGGGAGGCTGGCTAGTCGGTCTTAGGTGACCCCTGTAGTTGAGAACTGTAGAATGGTACTGAGGTATGGTACTTGCTCCCTTTGCAGAGTGTTGGCATGTGTATCATCTTCGGCAATGGAGAGTTGAAGCAGCTTGGGTAGACTAAAGGGTCTTGAGTTCAACTCATGTGCCTCACTCCAGCGATTTGATTGCTGATTTTGCCATGCTGTGTGCTTTTATGTCATTTTGTGTTTGCTTAAGCTGTCACGTCTGGTCGTGTTCTGAGCATGCTGGTGGTTCGTGCCTGTCTAGTGTAGCGTTCGCTCAACCACTTCATAGATCTTCAAAGGTGCTTCTGTTCTTTGTCGTCGACAGGTTTATCCAGAGGCTATGGCTCGATCTGCTTGGAGTTGATCAAAGATTGGGTTGGATCAGCAGGTTACTTCGACCTGGAGCATGTCATCAGGTTTCTTCTTACTGGAGCAGGTTATGCGCGCAATATGAAAATTGGCATGCAGGAAAACCACCATCTACACCTCAATGTTAATCGAGCCTCCGCTTATTTCCGGCAGGCTCCGGAAGGCCGAGAAGGAGCGCATCAAGGCAGGGGAGGCCATTGATGCGGAGGAGAAGGCTAAGAAGAAGCTGGGCAAGTCCAAGTCCAAGAAGGAGAAGAAGACCGGGGATGATGATGAGGTGGAGTCTCCTACAGGCCCTGGCCCGCGCGTTCCTGACGTGGAAGACGGGGACGATGAGGTCGAGTGGGCGACGGACACGTCAGCGAGCGCCGTCAAGCAGCGCATGCAAGAGCAGCTGACAGAGGTCACCAGGTGAGGGATGAGTTTTGAGGGCGGTAAAGGATTCGATTTTTTGTACTTCGGTTTTGCAAGCAAGGGTGCCGGTTGATGTAGGTGAGAAGTGGTAGTCCTTGAGTAAGGAGCATTTGAATAAACAAGGTGCCGAAGAGAGATTTGAAATTGCTGCTGAAGATTGGAGGACTGTAGGTCAGGCCAGTCCTTTGGAGACAAGTGTGTACCTGCGGTGTGACAGTTTTTGATTGCAAGTCGTTTCACTGTTTCTTTCTGGATCCTAGCAAACCCCCTTGCTTCCTGCAATAATGCGTTCGAAGCTTATTATTTCGAGAACCGCACTTCACAGTGACTGTTTCTCTCTGCACGAACATGCCGGCAGTTGGCGACATGAAATCCTGCAGAGAACGTACTAACTCCTGCCCAGCTTGGCCTCACACCTTGTCATATCTATTGCAGTAATATGGTGACAGCTGGCAACGGTGTCATTGACGAGGAGCCAACCACGATTAACGCCAAGAAAGCCGCTAACGGAAGCGGCACCCCCAAGACGCCCAAGAAGGAAAAGAAGAAGGAGAAAAGCCCCGAACCTGAGCCTGAAGAGGAAGAAGAGGAGGCAGTAGACGGTAAGGACGCTTGCGAACATTACTTTGTACACCGAGGTAGTAATGCAAAAATTCCAAAAAGCTGATTGTCGTCTGTTCCCAAAGTGCTGTTGATGCCCCATGCGGATGACTTCTACTCCCAATCTGTGCTGAAAGTATGCTGGACGGGATGCCCGAAGGTTTAAAAGTCTGCTTGGGGTGCAACTCAAAAGTTGTGAATTCGAGAGGCGCCCCTTGTTCATTCGAGGCCGTCTGTGTAAACGGCTTCCGGGGCAGGCAGTCTGTTGTAGGCGCCCTGGACGAAACTGTGGGATGCTTATTGAGAATGTGGCGAGATAATCAGCTTTCCATCTCTGTTCCTGTGCCATCTGAGGTTTTGGTCCGTCAAAACTTGGTTTCGTCTGGCTTAGAGAACAGTGGTTGCTTTACCGTATGCCGCCGATCCGGTTGAGCAGATGGTTTGGTTTATAGCTGGAATGTGTTGAGCATTAAGAAGACGGCTTCCAAGAGTTTGTTTGAGAGCCGTTTGCTGTTCGAGAGCCGTTTGCTGCGAGCCCTTTACAAGGAAAAATTTGAAGGCGCGGTCTCATGTTGCAACGCGCGTTTGAGGATGGCGTTCTCTGTCGTCGGAAATCTAACATCGCTGTCAAAAATTGCTTTGCAGAGGTGGCGGCGCTCAGTCTCCACGACAAGCTCGTCTCGGACCTTAAGAGCTACATGGAGGATCACGACGTCGCTGCGACTACCAAGTACCTCGCCGGAGAGGCAGATTCTGCGGAGGAACAAGGTAAGGAGAGATCAAACTCCCGGTTGAAGCATTCGTCGGCTTAGAACTTTACGGATGACTGATCAGTTTCGGTTTTTCGATCAGTGGGTACAAGGAATCCCAGGTTTGTTTCTTGTATTGCTCATCCGACGCGTCCAGAGGTCTAAGCTTGGGAGACATCATAGGACACATGGTTGGGTCGCTGATCCTGCTGGTTCCAGAGATTTGCATTCGGTTGGTCATGGCTGTAAGTAGTAGGCCCAGAAAGGGCTATTTGGCTGGTTGGTGATATGCGGAAGAGTGATACTCTACATACCTTACCTGCCTCTTGTTGGCAATTCGAGTTTTTCCCACAAACGTCCTGTTTCCTGTAGTCGACTAAAGTAAGTTTCTAATGGGACGTTCTTTCTGAGCGACTGTGGAGAGGCAACGATTAGAACCTCTCTTCTCCTTCTCGCTGATGTCTGCATTATGAATTTCTTCTGTCCAGCCATGATGCCCGCTCTTAATTATGTCAAAATTGTGTTCCGCCAGAAATCGGCTGTCGTCAAGAAGTCTTGGACTCATTTTCTGTCCTTGCATGATGCAGCGATCGCCCTGTTTGAGGCGCTTTTCGGTGACTCCGCCAAGACCCTCTCCAAGTCAGTCTCCAAGAAGCTGCCGTTCCTGGCCGCCTTCGCCAAGGGCGGGAAGGATGCGCAGCGCGCCCTCCTGGCTGCCATTGAAGTGTTCACTGGCGTCACTTTCCCGGCTGCCAAGAAGGACGTTGCGCTGGTGCTCAAGAAGCTGTACGATTCGGATGCCGTTGAGGAGGAGGTGATTCTCGAGTGGTACGATGCGGGTGCGGGATGCAATGCTGACGTCGGCGTCCCGAAGGCGGTGGGTGTAGTGGTGCGCGAGCAGGCCAAGCCGTTTGTGGATTGGCTGCGCGAGGCCGAGGAGGAGTCTGACGAGGACGAAGAGTAGGTTAAGGAGGAGAGGACGTTAGGCTAGTACTGCAGCAACTAAATCAGTGAGATCATAAAAGTGTGACGGCTCCAGTGTGGTAGGCAGGCGGCTGGGGGCGGCGTATTTCGCGTGCAGCAATTGAGCTTAAAAGGCTTGGTTATGCTTTGGTAGTAGTTGATAGGGGAGGCTCGCCTTTGATGTATGTGGCAGCGATTGTTGCTTAGAGGAAGTTTGCACTACCAGTCATCATTCACCTCACGTGTGTGGATAATTCTTCAGCTGCGTGATTTCAAATCCCAATGTTCAGATGCAAGATGTTACTAGATGCTATACCAATCTTCAAGGCTGAATACGAGCTTTGAGATGCAAGTACAATGTGGGGCCAGAAATGATAAATCGCAGTTCATTATTCAATCCTGAAAGATGAGGAATATTAACATCCATTGGCCTGGCAAGCCATGACAATTCAAGCTGGCCTGAAACCGTCTCCTGACTCGGCCTGATGAGTGACTGAATTCGATGAGTCCAGACGAGGGTGCCATTTCTGCACCGTCGCCTCCTGGCCGTTCATGTAAACTAACACTCATCCAACGGACTTCTTTCTCCGGATGGCTTGCAGATTTCAGTTCACTTTATCCACAAATATCTTGGACGCTTTTTGGACCACGTGCGCCGCTCGCGGGAAACTCGAAGCCACGTCAGCATAAAGTGAAAAAGCTGGGACTGGCAAGCGGAAAAAGGCACGCCGAAAACTCAAAAGGCCTTCGATCCAACCGGGGACTTTTTGATGTCCAGTTCTGACGTGTGAATCTGTTGAACCACGGTGACGTACCGACCTACCGGTTTACCTATACCTACGCAGCTCAATAGGATGGAAGCCACTAGTCTCAAGATTTACGCGGGGGCTTGCAAAACCAATTTGAGGGACAGGCTTCGACTCGTTATTTTCACAACCTCACCACAAATATCCTCACCAGGAGACATCTGAAGCGTTCGTTTTAGCGGGATTGAAAATTGTACGGCAGTGAAGCAATGTTTGGTTGTCCAGTAGCCCCTTCTGAATTTGTGGCCTGCCGCGGCCCCAATTGTCGGATAAATCCATTATCCAGCTAGAGTTTTGCTGTGCCAAGGGGAAAGATAGTTCTAGGTATCTAACGAAGCAAACTTGAAGGAGAAGTGTTCGAGGCCAGCTAGAGAGCGCCAGGGTTGCAGAGAACATCCAATGATTCACGAGCACATGTGAGAAGAGTAGTTGATTCAAGGGGAGAGAGCTGTGAAGCGCACCGCTATGTTTGTCCGGTGAGATGGCAGTCATATTGCAATCCCTGCCGCATGCAGGTGTGCTGAAACAGAAGTCGTTCACATCAGGCCTGAGGGCCTCCCCCGCCTGTGGTGATGCATCGTTCAGAAGCCCTTTTCTGCAGCCGTCAGTTGCTGGCTTTACACATACACGTTTCTTAGGCAGCTGGGGATTGTACTCCAGCACCTTGGAGCAAGGATGGGGGATCAGTGGGGAAAGGAAGGGGAACAGCAGAAGTGCAGGGGTTGGACGGAAAGGAGTGTGCATGGCTCGGATTGAGCCATCGTCCAATGGTGTCCGCTGCATACGACTCGCTCGTCCGACCCGCAAGAGAGCCGTGGTGTTTGCAACCAAGGTTCTGGAGAGGCAGCTTTCGGATGGGGTTGCATCCGACAGCGAGCATTTGGATGGGGTTGCATCTGACAGCGAGCAGCTGAACGGTGGTGCATCCAACAGCGAGCTTTTGAACGGCGTTGCATCCAACAGCCATGAGGTTCCGCTGGAGAGCCAGCACGGAGACGGGGTTGATGAGAACAGAGAGGATGCAAACGGGGTTGAAACAGAGAGCCAGGAGGCAAGTGGGGTTGAAGCAGAGAGCCAACATGCGGATGGGGGTGCGTTGGAGAGCCAGGACATGGATGGGGTTGCGTCTGAGGGCCAGCGGACGAACAGGATTTCAGTGGCGAGCCAGCAACCCAGCGGAGTTGCTCGTTGCCGCCGCACCAACAGGATTGCGACAGCGACCCAACAACGATGCGACGAGTGCCAAATCGTCAAGCCCCTGGTGGATTTCCAGATGGCGGGGAAGGGGCGCAGGACAACGTGCCGAGCGTGCGTTGCGTGCTCGTTCGCAATGCGCTGCAGGAAGGCAACGTACCACATGACGCTGTCTTCGGAGGAGGCGTGGGTGCAAGCAAAGCAATGTGTCGACTGTGGGGCCGTCAAAGAGCTGCGCGATTTTGCGGTGAGTCGGGACAGGTCGCAGGGGCCGCAACCCCGGTGCCGCGCGTGCAACTACGCGATCGAGAACAACAACATCGTCGAGGCTGCGGCCGCGCTTCGTGAGTACTTGGAGGCCAAGCAGCGGTTGAACGTCTGGCGGCGGCAGTGCAAAGACCTCGAGGCGACGCTCGACAAGGCCGTCACGGCCAAGATGGAGCTGGAGGAGAGGTTTGAGTACCTGTCGACTGCGGTGGAGACAGTGCAACAGGACCATCGGAGTATGCGCAGCCACCAAGCCGAGCTTGAGGAAGAGGTCAGCCGCTCAGAACCAGAGTTTATGCCTTTGTTAAGAGCTGTTTTGAAGCTATTTTGAGAGCTCTAGCAGATTCTAGGTGCAAGATTGATGAAACAAACAACGAGGGACACAAAGTCAGTAAAGCGGCAGTCGCTGAGTTTGGCCATTCCCCTCGGTTTTCCCTTTTCGGAGTTGGCCGCAAACGAGGGTACGCATTGTTTTGGAACTGATCAAGAAAGTAGGGTTCGGTGTTTCACCCACTTTCCGTATGCCTTAGTGCAGAGTGAGCTGAGTTTACTTACCCGCTTTGGAGGGCACTACGAGAAGGCATTCCCCATGCGAGCATGCAATGTCCTCCAGAGACGCTCTCTTTTGAAGGTTTACTTGAGATTCGCATGTGTCTTCAATGTTGTGTTGTTACATAACAATTCTTGTCTTGTCGCGTTATGCAGAGCAAAGCAAAGTGTTTATCTCAGACACTTTTTCCAAGATTTGATGCAAATCGAGGAATGGGTTTTTGGCACAGATTCTCTTGCTGTGGCATTGGCCTTGGCTTGCTGCTTTCAACACTTTCAGAAGCGGTCAAGTTCTGCGCTAAGGAGAGTCTGCACGCACATATCTCGTGACGATGCTTTCATCACTGCAACAGACATCAAGGCGTCCACATTGTGAAAGTGAACATAGTTATTTTGATCCGAAGAAAGTGCATTATGGGCCATCTTGCTGTTGACCCTTCTTTCCTTTATGGGTCCCAGCATGCTGCAGTCAGGCTGGGGTTCAGCTTGATGCAAGTGCAGTGAGGCTGCTTGTCCAGGGCACAAGATTTTAAACAAATGCGCCTGAGCACTTTCAGTTGCTTTCAATATCAGAGAAAGTGACATAAGAAAGATAAAAAGGAAATCGGTTCTCTATGTGCTCAGACAATATGGTGGGTCAACTCTTTACTTTGGTTGTCGGCGCAGGTCTTGAGCGTCCAGACTGAACACACGGCGCTGGAGCGCGAACGGGCAGAGCAGGCTAAGATGCTTGCGGAGAAGGAACGGGAGCGGTTGAAGTTGGAGGAGGAAGTGATCAGATCGCAAGAAGAGGTGAGGCTCACAAGGACCAGTTCTCCTCAAACCAGCTTAAATGAGAGGCACTTCTTACACTTCTGTAGGATAGGTGAGATAAGCGCAAATCTCCCTTTATCCCCACCCTCTTCCAGGCAGGCTACTTCCAAAACCCTGCGCTTATCGTCTAAGTAACCTAGACATTATACTCTTCCAGACCTCAACCATAGTTACTGGCTATGGCACCTAATCAAGCACCAACCAGAGTTCAATCACAGTTACTGGCTACAAGCACCTAAACAAGCATCGACCAGATGACAACCATGGGTGTGGGCAACAGGGCACTCAATCAAGCATCAGTCTTCTTCTGACAGTGGACTCCACTTCTCTACTATATGCTTTTCCTGCATTTAGTCCACCCTGATGTTAAAATTTGGTTCTGACGCGTGATACTTATTTCGAGGTTCTGACCGGTCCTAAAACATATTTCCAGGTTTCTACTCAAGTCCCACTTTTCTGAAAAGATGACGTGAAAACCAAGAGGAGGTTGTAGTCAGCATTCTGGTGCTTACGCCCACCTGCAGAATCAGTACTTGTTGGAGATTTTTAGATTGCGTTCTGGATCAGGTGACTTGAAAGTATGACTTTTCAAATCTTTAGGGCAGAGGTATGGTAAGCACGTTTTAGGATCAATGGAGACTTTTGCTGGCAACAATCTTCTCCGAAGACCCACATATGGAGCAAGGTGCCTTTCTAAACTGTTGATTCTTGGAGCCTAGAATTGTGTCTGCACATGAGAGTCCATGTTCGTCTTTTCCAGGGGCCCTGTTGACAACGGCCGATGAGTCAGTTGATCTCTGTTCTTGCATTCTGCTTCCTGGTTTCCCTCTGTGAAGTGTCTGAGTGCATTGCTCCTGTTGCAAATGGTCGCTCGTAGACGAGATTGCAATTGAAAGTGCCGATTTTCAATCCGCCTTCTGTGGACCCCTAGGCTGTGGAACAGAGCCTGACATTGAGACACCCTGATTCACCTTAAGAAGCAGGTTAAGGGGCAGCTGGTTCAAGATCTTGAGATTCTGCCCTGTTTTGTCAAGCAAATTTCTGCTTTGAGAACTGCTTCATAAAGGCACCCGGTGCTTTTCAGCTCGCCCCACTTGTCAAACATTACTACTGCTTGTCAAGTCTGCCCGATTTATAGGAATGGCGTATCTTATTGAGGAAGTCATTCGGAATTTGCCCAAGTCTTGGGGGCAGCAATCTGGTCACATAGTTTCTTTCCGCAGGTGCAAATGGCTTCTGCTTCACTTTTGGTTGACAAACATTTCTGACGATCTGACAAAGGGCGAAAAGGATGCAATTGTCAAGGACTCATGAAGCGGAGCCTGAAGTCGCCTCAGTTCTTACAGGTGGCCACTCTGCTAAAGCAGCTGGCAGATGCACAGGCGGCGCAGGCGCTCGAAGAAGAGAACGTAGAATCTGCCGCGGAGGTCGTCGGCGAGGAGTCATCAGCGGGCGAGGAATCGTCGGTCAGGGAGGAATCGTTGGTTAGCGAGAAATCGTGGGGCAGCTGGGATGCAACAATTGGCGAGAATTCATCGGCCAGCGAGGATCTGCCGGCTGAAGAGAATCTGCTGGTCAGTGCGGAATCTTCGGTTGACGAGCAGGAGATGGCTAGCGAGGATGAGACGGCTAGCGAGGATGAGACGGCTAGCGAGGACGAGACGCTTAGCGAGGATGAGACGCTTAGCGACGACGAGGCGGTTAGCGAGGACGAGGCGGTTAGCGAGGACGAGGCGGTTAACGAGACGGTTAGCGGGGACTCGGCGGTTAGCGAGGACCCCTCGGTGGGCGACGAGCTTGCTGAGATGGCTAGCTCGGCGGCTGCTAGAAAGCGTGACGAGGTGAGAACCGAAATAGATACCGTTTTAAAGCAAACCCGCTTGTCGCTCTGTCAGGTGCCTCTTATATGGTGACCGCGGTTTGGGTCTGGTTAATATCCCTTGACTGAGCGTGGTAAAGGCCAAAAATCCCTGTCGTTTTTTACTGTAGTGAAACGCGTGTTCTCTAGATGCCCAATCCCTTGCTTTCGAAGGTTGCGTGTAATTTGACATGCAACTCAACAATTTTTGCTGTGAACCTTGATATGCTAGCCCTGAAGAGTGCTCCCTTCAGTTTCTGAAACGGATACTAATGCAACTCCAAGTGGCGCGCCAGAGTCGAATTTGAGGATTTAAACCAATGTGAACAGTCAACATTTCAATCGTCAGTCATTGTTGTCAGCCCGCCAGATAAAGCTCCGTTCCCGACGTTTTGAAGGACCCCTTGTTGCATCCTCGTTCTCAACCATTTTCTTGTCACACTAATCTCCAGATTTGCGGGATCCTAAGCTGTTGACAAAGTTTCGGATCTTGCTGTGGCACTTCTTCTTCTCCCACCTGTTGCTTTCTTTGTTTCAACCCTTTCCCATCGCCGCTTCTTCGGGGTTATGGCGGACACCCCATGCTACCAATGAACCTACAGACTTCTGGGACTTGTTAGAACAAGTCTTTCCCTCTTAAGCTTTTTCTGAAGGACTCTCCGTTGCTTTCATCATGCTCAACAACGTCCCGTCGGATGCTTTTCAGAAGGATTTCGAGGATACCAACGCTGCCAGCGGAAATGCCGCCTTCTTGTTGTCACTGAGACAAGCCTCCTCTCTTTCCCATATTTTCTGAAGGACTCCTCGTTGCTTTCATCCTTCTCCACAAGTTCTTGTCGCATGCTCTTCAGAAGGAATTGGCGGACATCGGCGCTGCCGACGACTGTCGGTGTCATTGATAACAAGCCTACTTTTCTCTCCAGCTTTTCCAAAGGAGTCTTTCTTGCTTTCATCATTCTCAACCGCTTCCCGTCGAATGTTTCCCAGAATATATGGACTTCGACTTCGAACGACGAAGTTTTGGACTTGCCGGTCACATTGAGACAAGCCCTCTCCCCTCGCCACCTTATCTGAAGGAGTCTTTGTTGCTTGCATCTTTCTCAACATTTTCCCGTTGCATGCTTCGCAGGACGACGTGGGGTACTTGTCCGGCCCCGACGTTCCCGAACATGTCGCAAAGGCGATCGACGAGGTCATGGAGGTCGAGTACAAGAACTACCGGTCCGCCTCCCGCTTCCTGGCCGGCGCCTCCGTGCTCCTCTCGTCCGTTCTCGGAGTGTACGTTCTCCGGGGTACGAATTTCACCGTGCCTGAGTTCCGTCTCCCGGACAGCGTTCCGGTAGAATTCGTCCAGGCGGCGAATTCTACCGTCCAGAAGGCGGCGAATTCTACCGTCCAGGCGGCGAATTCTACCGTCCAGGCGGCGAATTCTACCGTCCAGAAGGCGGCGAATTCTACCGTCCAGGCGGCCCGGGGCTTCCTCCCGACGCTGAAGGAGCTCGGCG